CAATACTGATGCAGGGAGGCCACTAAATATCCTCCTAGTCCAACATCTCGTCTCCCCTCCACAGATGTAAAACTTCTAATAAAAATCTATAATAAAAAAAATGATCCTTAGACATTTTCACTTTTCTAAGTTGTCGAAAACAAAGCAGTGTTCCCTTCTGATCTTATCTCTATGTGGCCTAATAACATTCCTAGTCCATTTGCTAAATATTTATTTTCCTCCCACTCTGTGTTAGGTATGTTCTGTAAATGTTTGTAAATAACCACCATAAAGGATGTTATATATCCTGTGGCCCGTCCCTGATAAATAGTTACTGAACCTTGGCCTTTAGAAAATGAAATAGCTAGAGACTTGAAGAAACTATGCGTAAATTTTTTATTATGCTTCATTAACATAGGAACCTGATTTAAATGAGTACACTGGTAATAAAATTAGTCGCTTACTCCCAATCAGTGTCTTCAAAAGTAAGGTAGATGTGTAGCTTGCAAAGTCAGTAACAAATAAAATGGCCAGAGAAAAAGAGAGCATGACATAGCTTAGGTTAATCTGTAATTATCCAGTTGGCAAGACAATGACATGGAAAGAAGCAGTGGCATCTGACAAGGAATGAAAATGAAAGGCTAGCTAGTTGTATTTTCCTGGCTTCCTCATGTAATATGCTGGCTAGATATAGACCTGGACATGATTTATTACTTATTCTCTCTGAGCAGATGGTTCTGTGTAGCATTATGGCATCAAATGAACTCACTGCATGGTAGACTGTTTACACAAACTGAGCAAAATCTTAAAAACAATTTGACCCAATGAAGTCCTGAACCTAAACAGAATTCTCAATTACCATTATTTCAGGGAAATATTATTGCTGACTGGTTAAGTGAAACCTTTGGTGTTTGGAGGATTATCTGGAAGAATCAGTTATAGACAGTTTCCATTTGGAAAAGAAGATAATTTTATGTATGTATACTGAGTTACAAATACATTTAGTTCCCCTTGAATGGTTATGTGAGAAGATAAATACAATATAGGTCAAGCCAGCTGTCTGCTTTTTAAATGCCAGAATGGGCAGTATCTACAGAATAGTTCATATTAACATGGCATAATACTCTACAAGGGTCAAGTGAAAAAGTAATACTCAAATTATTTTCGTTTACCTTCCATGCTTTGGAAATAAAATGGTCATAACTATTGACATAAAATAGTATAAAACAACAACACAAACAACAAATAAAACAAACCAACAAACAAAATCTGCCACAATTAATAGTTTATGCTATCCTAGCTATTACTAGTTGGGCATAGGTGTTCTTTTAAAACTACCACTAGAGTTGCCATTTATAGAGCTGCTGTAACTTGTTATTTCCATTTGTTGTTGGGTACATGTCAGCTGAGTTGCCAAAACAGCTAGCTCATCTCTAGTTACTGTACAAAGCTTGTCTTGGGGAATGGAATTATTTCCCAGCATTACAGAACAATGTTGCCTTCAATAGGCAACATTGAAGGCAGTAGGTATTGAGCATCATTCTTTTATTAACTGATGTGCACAGTTTTACCATAAAGAAGAGCTTGTTTTATATAATATAGGAATTAACAGTTTTAAAACCAAAACAGGTACATGAACATAAGATAATAAAAGTCTTTGGTAAAAGCAATGACACAGACAAAGACTCAGCTAGATTCGAAAAACAGAGACTCAGGATTGGGAGCAGACCCAAGACTGTGTGTGTGTGTGTTTAATGTTAAAGCATATAAAAAGGCAAGGGTATTTGTCCCAAAAATTGCACTCAGCTCCAGTACTACAAAAAGGCAAGCATAAGGTTTCTCAGCTTCTAATCCTAAAATTCATATGCTATAAAAAGATTTTCCATCAGGCTACAAGTATCTCCTATTCTCTGAACTTCCAAGTCAATTTACGCCCTATGGAGCTCATAGCAATAGAGGAGAGGCTACTTTTGTGGGTTCTGCTACTCTAGTGTGATCTGTGGATCAGTAGCGGTGGTATTATTTGGGAACTGGTGAAATATGCAATGTAGTATCTCAGCTCTTTCCAAACTTACTGTGTCAGAACTTGCATTTTAACATGATCCTCAATTGATCAGAGACAAATTTAAGTTTGAGAAGCACTGGTCTAGGGCCTCCTAGGAGGCCAGTGTACTCCTCCAAGAAAAATTCTCCTAAGGCAAGCTGCAGATGCAGCACTGACATGCTGTTAAGCCATGTGAAATATTTGGGATGTTATTGTACACGTTGTAAAAAAGAAAAAGCAAGAAAAATATAAACAATCCAACTGTGCAACTGAAGTATATAGAAAAAGAACAATAGTATTCAAAACCAGTAAGAGGAAAGAAATAATAAAAATTAGAGTAAAAAATATGTAAAAATAAAAATTAGAGCAGAAATAAATGAAATAGAAAGCAAAAAGACAGCACAAAAGATAAAGAACTCAAGTGGAACCAAGAGTTAGTTCTTTGAAAAAAAAATTAACAAAATTGAGAAGCCTGTAGTCAAGTTTATGAAGGAAAGTAAAGAGAAAACCCAAATAAAAATAGAATCAGAATGAAAGAGGCATAATTGCAACAGATACTGCAGAAATATGGAGGATAATCAGAGCTTATTATGAACATCTCTATGCAAATAAACTGGACAACTTAGAAGAAATGAACAATTTTTTTAATTCATACAACCTCCTAATACTAAATCAGGATGAAATAGACAACTTAAACAGTCCAATCACAAGTGTTGAAGCTAAAAAAAAGTAATAAAATCTCCCTAAGAACAAGTGTCCAGGACCAGATGAGTTGAAGTGAATTCCACCAAACCTTCAAAAAGAACCTAATACTTACCCTACTCTAACTCTTCAAAAAAAAGAATAAAAGAGAAAGCAAAACTTCCCAATACATTTCATGAGGCCAACATTACCCTGATCCCCAAACCAAATACAGTATAGAAAAGAAAAATTATATATCAATCTTCCTGATAGAGAAAAATGTGAAAATCTAGCGAACCAACTACAGCAATATATTAAGAGAATTATCTACTATGGTCAAGTAGGCTTCATTACAGTTGATACAAGTTTGTTCAACATACAAAAATCAATGTTTTTTACCAGATCAACAAAAAGGAAGACAAAAATCACATAGTTATTTCAATAGATGCTAAAAAAGCATTTGATAAGATTTAACATCCATTTATGATAAAAGCACTCAATAAAATGAGAATAAATGGAACACATCCAAACAGAATAAAAGTCACATATGACAAGCCCACAGACATCCTGAGTCTCAAAAGTGAAAAGTTCAAAATATTTCCAATAAGATGAGGAACAAGACAAGAATACCTACTGTCACCACTATTGTTCAACATAGTCTTAGAAGTCCTAGCCAAAGCAGTTAGTCAAGAAGAAGATATAAGAGGAATCCAAATTGGAAATGATGTGAAACTGTCACTATTTGCAGATGACATGTTCATATACATGGATAACCTAAAAGGCTAGTAGAAATAATAAACAAATACAGTAAAGTGACAGGATACAAAATCAATACACAAAAATCAGATGCATTTCTATATGCAAACAGTGAATTAGAACAAAGGAAAATAAAAAATACAATTTCATGTATAATCACAGAAGAAGAATGAAATGTGTAAGAGTAAACTTAGTGAAGGAGGTGAAGGAACTATATATTGAAAACTATAAATCTCTATTAAAGCAAATAAGACAAAAAAAAAAAAAAAGGAAAGATATCCCTGTTCATGGAATGGAAGAATAAACATCGTTAAAATGACCATATTATCTAAAACAATTTACAGATTCAGTGCAATACCTGTCAAAATTCCAATGACTTTTTTCAAGGAAACTGAACCATAAATTATAAAATTTCATGGAACAACAAAATGCCCTGAATAGCCAAACTGATCCTGAGAGAAAAAAAGAAAACTGGAGGTATCATACATCCAAACTTAAACTATTATTACAACTGCAACAGTAATCAAAACAGTACAGCAGTAATGTAACAAAAACAGTAACTCAGACCAGTAGAATAGAATAGAAAGCACAGGAGTAAGTCCATACAAATATAGACAGTGAATCTTTGACAAAAGAGGTATGGCTATATAATGGAGAAAAGAAGACTCTTTAATAAATGGTGTTGGAAAAAAATAAATTGTGCTGGGAAACATAGTCACATGCAAAATAATAAAACTTTTAATAGATCTATACTTACCTCCATACACAAAAATTAACTCAAAAGGGACTGAAGATGTAGGTATAAGAACCAAAAACATAAACTCCTTGAAAGAAAACTTAGGGAACACATTACAAGCCACCTACCATAAAAATGTATTTGGGGACTCAACACCAATGGCAAGAGAAACAAAAGCAAAAACAAGCAAGACTCCATCAAACTAAAATGGTTTTGTATGCCAAAAGAAACCATCACAAAAACAAAAAGGCAAACTACAGAATGGGAAAAATATTTGCACATTACATATCTGACAAGGGACTAATCTCCAAAGCCTGCTAAGTTCTTGTACAATCCAACAACAAATAAAACCTACAAGTGAATCAAAACATGGGCAAAGACCTAGATTGATATTTTTCTAAAGCATCACTTATTATAAGGGACATGCAAATCAAAACCACAGTGAGATGTCACCGCCCTCCCCTCCCATCCCCATAAAAATGGCCCATATCAAAAAGAATGGAATCAACAAAAGTTGGTGAGGATGTGGTGAGAGGTACTCTCATCCATTGTTGGTGGGAATACAAGTTGGTGCAGCCTCTTTGGAAAATGGTGTGGAGATTTCTGAAGAAGATAAAAATAGTAATTCTGTATGATTCAGCAATACCCCTTGTAGGGTAAATGGTTTTCAGGTTTTTCTGCCCTCCCATCATTAGGATTGCCCTGCCTGATGGGGCACCTGCAGTTGTTACATTGTTGCAAACTGTCTTACTTACTTCTGTGGGCCATGGGAGGAGTATTGAGGCAGTCACTGAAAGAAGCAGAAGCAGAAGAGAGTCAGGAGAGAGAAGGGGAGAAAGAGGCCAGAGTATCCCAGAGTGAAGACTTGCCCCAGGCTTGGAAGCCTGATGGCCTCCTGGCCCCCTGGTACTCCTGCCTGCCATGTACCTGATTGCTTCAATACACATAGAGCTCAGTAAAAGCCTGAGAAAGCCACTGAGGGCTCAGGACTCTCCTTTACCCCGTCTGCCAGATCAGAAAACGTGCTCAGTGCCCATCCTGCCCCTACAATTGGCGTAAGTTGGCAGGATGATCCTATGCAGATGCAAGACCTCTGAAGACCTCAGGAGGACTGAGGAGTAGCAGACTGTGTTTGCCTGTGACAACACTGGACGTGTCATGGCAGCACAGGTGGTGACCAGAGTTGAGGAGCTGCAGGAAGAGCTGAAGATGCTGCAGGAGCACAGGAGGTGGACAAGGTCCAGGAGCTGCTGGACGAGTCCTCGCCTGGAGGAGACAGCCTGAGAGGACCAGCCCACCATTCCTGAGGCAGCAGAATTGTCAGGAAGAAAGGACCACGATTTGGAGCTCGCCAGTGCTGATGCAGGAAAAGACTGATGGACTTGGACTTATAGTCCCACCAGAAGGTGGAGGAACTTTGGCAGGGTAATGTTCTATTTTGGGGATCCTGGGGGAGGATGGTATTGTTTGTATACACCAGGAGATGGGAATCTGGGGGTGGTCAGTGGGCCTTGATGGCTAGAAACAGCCTGTGTACTGCCCAGCAGAGGGTAAAAGCCAACTTAGAAAGGCAAAAGCTGGTGCTGAGATTGGGAAGCCCTGGAGCGGCTGTTAAGCAGCCTAAGTATGTTAAAGAAGGCCAGCGAGTTTCTTAAAATCACCTGTGGGTGATGCCCTGCTCACTGTTGAGAGAGGGTGAGGAGTTGAGGAACCCGTCCTTGGGGGACGGGTGGGGAACATGGCTTGTGGTGGAGCCCACAGTCAAAGAGGGGACCCAAGAGAGGCCGCATGTGGAGTTTGGATCCACATATCCCCGACCCATGTGCTTGTGAGGTGGATTGGCCTGAGTGCAGGGGTCTGCGTGTTGCATTGGTGGCTATGAAGGCCCAGTGTTGGAGTGACGGCAGACAGAAAACCTTGAGGGTTGGGCGATTACCTGCAAAACAGAATTGCCAATCCAAGAGTGAGTGCATCCTGGGGGTGGGTGCAGTGTGAGGCTTGTGGCAGAGACTACAGCCAGAGAAGGCCAGGAAGCCTGACGGCTCCTGGTGTGTGAAGGCAGGTGCGTGAGTGGTTCCCCCTCTTATGAGCTGTGCCTTGGGCAACAGAAGTGGTGGATCATCTGCTGATGCCAATAATTATCTTTTGCCACTAGGTTGGTGCCCTGCCTGGACTTATTTGTGTTCTGTTGTATTTTGTATTACTCAGTTGTATGTTATTTTCTTTTGTGGGCTATGGCTGCAGTGTATATTTGTTAAGGGAAAACTATGTAATACATAGATTGTATGGCAGAAAACCCTGAGGGGTAAGTGGTTTTCAGGCTTTTCTGCCCTCCCACCATGAGGATTGCCCTGCCTGATGGGGCACCTGCATTTGTTACATTGTTGCAAACTGTCTCTTTTACTTCTGTGGGCCATGGGAGGAGTATTGAGGTAGACACTGAGAGAAACAGAAACAGGAGAGAGAAGGGGAGAAAGAAGCCAGAGTAGCCCAGAGTGAAGACTTGGGTGGGTCTTGGAGGCCTAATGACCTCCTGGCTCCCTGACATCCCTGCCTGCCATGTACCTGGTTGCTGCAATACACATAAAGCTCCATAAAGCCTGAGAAAGCCACTGAGGGCTCCAAGACTCCTCCTTTACCCCGTCTGCCAGATCAGAAAACCTGCTCAGTTCCCATTCTGCCCCTACACCCCTATTCAGCATTTATCCTAAAAATATGAAAACTCTAACACAAAAGTATTTGTATACCTATATACATAGCTCTGTCCACAGTTGCAAAATCATGCAACCAACCTAAGTGCCCTTCAAAGGATGAACGGATAAAGAAATTGTGGAATATGGGGCCTCCCTGGTGGCGCAAGGGGTTAAGACACAACTTATGAAGCAATTTTCAGTCACTGCAGCACGAGTTCAGTCCCCTGGCCAGCCAGGGAGCAACCCACATGGCACAGCAGACCTCTCCTGACTCACTCGCTACTCCCCTCAGCAGTGTATTTCAGTCAATCTGCCTATTCTGTTCCCCACTCTGTCTCTGGTGAATCCTCTTACCATCTACACCTGTGGCCTGTACCCCAGTTCCTGTATGTATAAATAAACAAATCTTTAAAAAAAGATATTTAAAATAAAGAAAAGAAATTGTGGAATATATACTTAGTGGAATACTACCCAATCGTGAAAAAGATGAAATAATAGCTTTTGACATAAAATGAATGGAACTTGAGGCAATCATGTTAAGTGAAATAAATCAGAAAGTGAAAAATAAGTATCAGATGGTTTCCCTCATCTGTGGTATATAAGTAACAAAAAAATACACAGGCAAAATATAGCAGGAATAAATTTTGAACACAATGAAAGAATTTAATGTTTATAACAGGGAACACTTGGAAGGGAAAAGGAGAAGATGGGGGGGATACAGGAAGGTATTGGCACAGGTAGACTGGTGGAGGGTGAGTAGAATACAGAAACATATGGGGAAGCAAAAACATTACCTTAAAATAAAAATTGAAAAAAGAAGTTACTTTAAGAGTGGTGGGAAGACACAGGAGATAGACCTGTTTTACAATTTTTATAATCTCTGTCTACTCTGGAGGAGTATATAGGATCCCTTATACACTCTGAAAATCACTTTTGAAGGATCCCCTGCACAACTTGGCAACCACATTCAAATATATTGGTAATCTGTTCAATCTGCAGGTGTATTTTTTACAAAAAATGTAAAATTTTTATAATGTGAAGAGTTGAGTTTTTAACACAAATTTATGTCATAACTAAATTTGACTTCCATGTATGTATGGATTTAAGATTTTTAAAGATACACACATGTCCTTGAATTGCTACTTGGTATGACACTATATTTCGTGGATATTTAATTAAACATTTTGTAATTTTCTCTTTTGTAGTTTAGAGGCAAATGTATTTTCCAGGTCCCACACAATTGCACAGGTCTTTAATAACTTGGGGCCCTAAGCCCTGTGGTTATATGCCTATTAGATCAGGATTCATAGAGCAGGGACATGACAAAATCTTTATGTTCTAAAAAGATCACTTTGACAACAGTGTAGAGTTTGGGCTGTGGGGGAGGCGGGTGAGTGCAAGAGAGCCTATTGGAAGATGGTGGGGGTATTCTCACAGCAGCTCAATCAACAGATGAGGTTGACAAAGTTGATGGCAAGAAATGGATGAATTTTTTTTTTTTTTTTTTTTTGGTGTGACCCTCGCCGGTGGCTGGGGAACGAACTGGCACTGCAGAGGCTGCGGGCAGTCTCACAGCCCAGCGCTCAACCGCTGTGCCACCAGGGGATACCTGAGAAACGGATGAATTTTAAAGAAATAATGTGTAGCAGAATTGCCAGGACATTGTAATGAAGACTGAGAGAGAAGGAGTCAGCAATAACTCCCAATTCCAAACTAAGAAATTATGAGGATGACTGCTTATTTGAGTAAGAGACACTGGATGGGGAGTTGCTGATCTTGGGGAAAAGCTGTTTCTTTCCTTTTGGTCATGTCTTATTGAGGGACCTACATTTTGTTCCCTGAGTAGAAATTTTGAATCACCAAGAAGTTTGATTAAGAAATGTAGATTTGGGAGTGAAGGATTGCAGATGCTGATTGAAACAAGAATGTCTTAGGCTTCTTCTGTACTGAAGATCAGAAAAGGGGTTCTTTTAAGAGGATGGCCACCAACAAAGTAGAAACAACCTTGCTCTTTTCTACAAGAGCTTTTAACACTTATGGCTACAGGCAGGGTCCCTGGACAGGAAACACATCAAGGATCAGCTAAGGATGAAGGGAAACCCAGGATGAGTGGTGACAGAGCCACTCCTGGGAGAAGTGAGGCTCCTGCATTTGGAGCTGCTAAGAGGGAAGCTAGAAATGTGGAGGTCACCATGACCTCAGGGAAAGTAGTTTCCAGATTAATGCATGTGGTGGGCAGAATGAAAGCATCCCTCCACCCCCAAAGTCCATGTCCTAATTTCCAGAACCTGTCAAGAAGCTACCCTTGGGGTCAAAAGGACTTCGTGGTGTGACTGAATTTAGAATTTTGAGAGAAGATTACCCAGGATTATCTGTGTAGGCCAGTTTTAAACATAAAGTTCCTTTGAAGGAGCACAATCCTGATGATCTCCTGACTGGAGCCCACTAAGGCCAATTTCATGGTTCTAACCACGAGAACCATGAGAAAATAAATGTGTGTTGTTTGCTGTTTTAAGCTACTACTTTCCTAGTAATTGTCAAAGGAATGACAGGAAATGAAGACACTGAGTGGGGACTGTTGGGAAATTTGAGGAGAAACTGTAAAAGATAATAATGCAAGAAGCTCTTGCTTAAGATGGAAGAAACTTAAACATCTATACATACACTAATGGGGAGATAGCAGTGAGATCAGAAGGAATCAGAATTAGAATCAGGAGGTTAAGTAGCCAAGTAGAACAGGATGGGATACAAAATTACTAATGGGAGCACTGACAGACAGGATAAGGGACACTTTACCCTAACAGGAATTGGGGAAGGAAAAGCTCCATAAGACTCAGATGGGCTTCTAGATTTGGTGTGGGGATATTGAGGGAGTTATTCATTAACACCTTATTTCCTTATTTAAAATAATAGTGATAATAGTTGTATCTAACTGGGCCATCATGAGAATTAATTGCATTAATACGTGTCAGGTGCAGTGCTCACATGTATTGTGGGCTTAACACATGTCAGTTATTATTACTATTATTATATTATCAGTTTTCTAGAACTGCTGTGACAAAGTATCCCAAATCTAGCGTCTTAAGAACAGAAGTGTATGATCCACACAATGAATGCGGCCTGAGGGGCCCAATGCCCAGAGGGGTTCTCGGTTTTGGTCTTGGTGAGGGAAGAATTCAAAGTCAATGCTGGTGTTATGGAGAAGAGCAAGAGGTTTATTGACAGATAAAGAGAGAAAGACAGGAAGTCTCTCTGCATGGAGAGGGGCCTGGGTGGGTAGCTGCTGAGGGGGTAAAAGGCAGATGCTTATTAGGCTATAGTGGGCAAGGAGTGGGGGTTTGACCATGGGTGTGTCCACATTGTGTCTCTTGCTGATAGGTCGGGGCTTGCAGGGTCTCCTAGGTTACTGAGACCTGTTTGCCCGGGAATGACTTTGGTCTGTGTTTTAGCATTGTTTTGGTGATCTGAACATTCCATTTCTAATTGGGTTGTGGGTATCCACTCTTCAACCAGTTTTTTCTCATTTAGTTTGATAAATGGGCTTGGGACTTCTGGCCTTGGGGACAACTTCCTGGTTCCAACTGATTGTTCCTTATTCAGATTGATAAATTAGCTTGGGACACTTGGGTTTGGGACTTGGGGCACCCTGTTCCTAACTGACCATCTGTACCCATTTTCTAACTTCCTTATTCAGCAGTTCTGAAGGCCAGAATTCAGAAGTCAAGGTGTGGC